CAGGGCAGCTCTGGGTGGGCTCTGACCTCCCCCCAGGGCAGCTCTGGGTGGGCTCTGACCTCCCCCCAGGGCAGCTCTGGGTGGGCTCACCCTTTGTCCATGTTCATCAACTACCCCGGCTGTTATCTTCCTCTCACATCCTCTGTGACCTGCCCTGGGCCCTCCTGTGTGTCTTCCCATGTGTGTCGTTCCCACCCCCTCCTCTTTGTTGAGCCTGAGCTTCAGGAAACACACTCCTGTGTGTCCTGATCTCCTTTGGCCACACACTATCTACCTGTCTGTCCCTGCCCCTCTTTTCTGGCCTGGGTGGTAGGGCTGGTCCTTAGGGCCTTGGGGCCTTAGGCCTGATGGGAAGAGGAGAGCTGGAGAGCAGCGCCCTGAGCGTCTAGAGGGACAGCTGGGTGGGGGATGGAGGAGGAAGAGCCCGCCACCACCCCCCAAAGCTCTGGCCCCTGCCCCGAGATGGGGCAGGTTCTTGTGTTTCTCCCACAGTGGGCACTGTGGGTACTTTAAAGTACCCACATCTAAAACACCTTGTGTCATGATGAAAGCTGAAACCTGGGAATGAGCACAGTGGAGGAGTGGATGGCGTAATGGTCCAAGCTCACAAGGCACCGGGACCCTCTGTTGTTTTCAACACTTTTCCTACCAAATGTCCATATTAATTCCATTTAAACTGCCCATGTGGTGCAGTGGTTAAATCTCTGCAGCTGACTGAAATGTCAGCAGTTCTAACTCACTGGCCTCTTCGTGAGAGGACACCATGGATTTCCTGAAAAGACGACACCGGGGACCCTGGGGACAGTGCCGCTGTGCACTGCAGGGGCCCGCGGGCCACAGTGCAGTCCTGGCACTGGGTTTGGTTTGGACTATGAGCTACAAATCCAGGTCTTTAAAGATGCCAGACAACTAGCGTAAGAGACACCAAGTTAAAGTTCAGACCTGCGATCAGTGATGTCACTGCTATCAGCTCGTGCGACTCTCCTGTCTGCCTGAGCGGAGGTTTCTCCTGGTGCCCACTGCTGTCAGATCAGCTCAGAGCTGCCCTCTCGGGATTTCCGGCCTGGGAACCCTAACAGGATGATACACGCGGCCTTTGGGTCAGCAGCTCAGCTCACCGTGGACCGCACTCACTGAAAGTCGCTCAGAGATGCTGTTTTGACTTCCAAAGCCCACAGAGGGCACGGGTCCTGGTGGTAAGCCAGAACACGGTCCAAACAGCCGCTGGAGGGGAGAGCAGTCCAGCCAGGACTAGACCCAAAACACCAGTGCCATCAGGGGGGCTCCAGCTCACATCCACCCTGTACACAGACCTTCTCAACCCCAAACCCAGAATCCTGTCCACATGACGGTGTTATAACGCCGCACAGCAGATGACTGGTCACAGGCAGGGGCCAGGCACAATGAACAAAGTAGAGAGAGGTCCCTTGTCCCCTTGAGTTTGCGAATAATGACACATGCGCGTTTCCTGTGAACAGTAAGAGGGAGGAGCAGAGGGGACCAGGAGGGCACATCCAGGGCTGCATCTGTTTGTTAAAATTTATCACTTGGTATTCCATCAGTTCCTGGGGCCTTAATTTTTCCAATTCCTTCAGAGCAGTTTGAACGTCCTTTGTTACCATTGGTTCGAGATCATATGCTACTTCTTGCAATGGTTTTATGTCAACCAATTCTTTTTGGTACAGTGACTCCGTGTATTCCTTCCATCTGTTTTTGATGCTTCCTGCGTCGTTCAAAGTTTTGAACCAATGTAGGGACCTGGTTTTTGTCACTGGTGAGACTTGAGAAGTGCTTGTCCACCCTCCTACCTGCAGAGATGACCCTGCCAGGCCTCAGCCTCACCTGGTGCCAAGACTCTGCCCTCCGCTCCCCTCGCTTCCCTCCCCTCCCCTTATCAAGGTCTGCTTTATTAATCTGTACTCTATAAGGACTGATAGGGGAGCTCTGCCTAAGGAATTGCCCTGTCAACCCAATGCCAGGCAGTTCAAATCTACCAGCTGCTCTGACGGTGAAAGGTGGGCATCTCCTCCCGTGGGATTGCAGCCTCTGAAAACCCTGTCAGAGAATCAGCTTTCGGTCAGTTCTGACTCACTTGACAGCAGTGAATTGAGTTGATGGATTGATAATATTTACCAAAATTTATTTAAGAAAAACATTCTTTAACAAACTAGGGAAATATTTTTTAAGAAACTTAAATATCTTGAGACAAATATTAGTTATATGATTAAACATCTGTTCTTTTGCTGTAAGACAGAAGCTGAAAGACAATCTTCTCTCATTTAAGCCTCAAGGTAGCCGCCTTCTTTAAAGGAGTTCTCCCTTCTCAGCTTCCTTTCCTCCCTTTGCTCCTGGGGGGAGAGAACCGATGACAGGCCGCTCTGTCCCATTAGGGCTTCAAGGAGACCCCACCCTCCTCTCTCAGGGTCATGCGTGTCAGACCCTGAACATCCACACGGTCCCAGCCTTGTCGGGAGCTCGGTCCCTGCACCTCCACACACAGTCCCAGCCTCATAGACGGGCAGCCGGGGGCTCGGTTCTGTCCCCCAATCCTCTCCGGAAGTGCTCTGGTGTTCTGGTTATTTTCCGATTGCCCCTTCCTCCCCGCAGGAGTGAGCTCGACTAGAAACGCCTCTCTTTTCTCCCCATGCAGAGAGTTCCGATTCACGTCCGAAGTCCCAATCCGCCTGGATTACCACGGCAAGCACGTGTCCATGGGCCAGGTGTGCAGACGGTGCAAGTGGGGCCCTGATGTTTTAAAACTTCCTTCTGTCACAGTCTGTGTAAATGTTTGAACTGAAGTACAAAGGTTTTTCCTTTAATTTGTTTGAAAAGTAAGTTAAGGTTCACACAGCCACGCCCCATGAGTAAGGCTGTGGGTCGGGTCAACGTCCCTTGAGCTGTGCTTCCCTGATACCTCCAGCTTTAGCCTTCTTGGTAGCACCTATCCAGGTTATGGGGGTGTCCACATCCTGCACTCTCTGCCCCTAACTCTTCCCCTTTTCCAGGGTCTGTTAGCTGGGATTCTGGGATGAGCCCAGAACATTAGGGTGTTGAGTCTCTCTGATCCCCGTTTTCCAGGGCACCTTGGCTGGGATTCTGATTGGCCTTGCCCAGCTCAACTGCTCCGAACTGAAGCTCAAGAGACTTTGCTACCGGCACGGGTGAGTGGTTCGTCCCGTGTGGCTTTGCGATGAAGTCGCTATAGTCAAAAGCGTTTTCTACACACACCTGCGTAGGCTAGCCATCTGCGGGACTGTCTGCAGAAGGCTCGGGGCAGGGCACTCCAGCTCAGTGCCAGAGCTGTGAGGGAGAGGCGTGGAAGGGTGGAATAGAAGACAAGACAGAGTGGCGAGCTCTGGTGGCCTAGTGGCAAGAAGCTGCACTGCAATCCAAGAGGTGCATGGTTCGAATCCACCAGGTGCTCTGCTGGAGAAGGAGGAACAAACTCCTCCTGTACCAGTCAGATCTGATTTGACGGTACACACACACAAAATAATAAAATAAAATAAAAAAAAAGAAGACAAGACAGAGCAGAGGAGTCCTTCTCCAAGGTGTAGTTGAAAATGTTTTCCGTGATTTCAGGGTTAGAGTTGGTTGAGGGGAAAAGATCGAGGCTCACAAGGTAGTGTTCTTAATGAGGAGGTGGAACCAGCCCCCAGCCGAGCCTCCAGCAGGTTTTCAGAGGCAGTAAATCACGCAGGGCGAGATGGCCCATCCTTCTCCGGAGCAGCTCGTGAATTCGAGCCGTGTGCCTTTGAGACTGTAACACGGCTTCTTACCACTAAGCCGCCAGAGCTCTCTCTGAATTAATACTTGCAGCTTTAGACACCCGAGAAATAAGAGCAGTGGAGGAGAACCCTTGTGTGTACTACCGGCCGTGTGGGAATCAGGATGTGCTGGGGAGGCTGCCCTTCCGTGTGACCTCGGTGTGGCCGTGGGGCGTCCTGGATCCGTGTGTGGTCTCTTGCTCTCTCAGTGTCCGCTCACGTCACTTGCTCCAGTTTGCTAGGTGTGGACAAGCTGCTCTCCTACGCCATCTCCGAGTGGCTCAGTGACATCAAGAAGAACCAGCTGCCGGGACTTCTGGGCGGAGTGGGGCCCATGCACTCCCTCGTCCAGCTGGGTGAGTGGGCAGTGTCCTCTTCCCAAGGGGACCTCCTCTCCCTGAGCAGGGACTCCCACTGTGGGGTTGTTGTGCCTGTGGGGGTCTCCGTGAGGGCTTTCTGTCCATAAATCCTGCATGCCTACACACTCAGGCACACACAGCTCCTGCCAGGGCTGTGGAAGCCTCGCGTGAGAACACACTCACGCACACACACGCGCGCATGCACGCCCTGCTTGGGGCTGTCGGATCCTGCCATGTGTACACACACACACCCCCCACCCCGCCTGGAGCTGCCAGCTGGGGCCTGGCTGGTGGGGGTGCACGCGCTGGCCTGACGGCTGTCTGTCTTACAGTGCAAGGCCTCAAGGACCTGGTCTGGCTGCCCATAGAGCAGTACCGGAAGGACGGGCGCATCGTCAGAGGCTTCCAGAGAGGAGCAGCCTCCTTCGGCACGTCCACGGCGATGGCCGCCCTAGAGCTCACCAACAGAATGGTGCAGACCATACAGGTACGAGCAGCGCGGAGACGCCATCCGTGCCCTGAAATGAGCAAAACACTGGCAGCGGCTCGTTCTTCTGTAGTGGCTTCATATTGTTGTGACTCTGGGTGGCCAAGACAGTGCAGTCAGTTGGCTGTCAGTCCACAGGTTAACTGTCCACCAGGAGACACTTAGGGAGAAAGGCATTACAGGAACAGTGTGCACTGTGTCTGTCTCCTGTGTGTGGTTTTCTGTGGACGCATTGTATGTGGAAAGCGTGCTTGGTGAATGGCCACTGAAGGGTGTCTGGAGCACAATTCTCCCTCCGACACAGAGCTCACTCCTCAGGGCCTGGCGGGAGTACTGACCCTGCTGCGTCACTCACTGTCCGGGGCCCCGTCGTTGGCAGAACAGAGCTGTGTGACTCGATGTCAGCGGTGCTGGCCTACTTCAGGGAAATTACACTTCCTATTGTAAAGGGGTTGATTTCCTCACATTTGGGGCAATCTCAGCTAAACGGTGTGTTAAGTGACACTGCTGTCTCTCGGGGGACAGTCTGCATTCTTGACCGATGTGGTCATGAGCCCCTGCACTTGAACCTTCTGAAACCTCCTGCCTTCCCCTCAAGCATCCAGACGCGGCAGGCCAGTGGGGTGTCCGGTTCAGGGTGCGCAAAGCCCTACGTGCACTGCTCTCAGGGGCAGCGTGAGGGTCCAGCGTCCAGATTTCATTCTCACTCATCTCTAATAATACCGCAGGCTGCGGCCGAGACCGCCTACGACATGGTGTCTCCTGGAACCCTAGCCATCGAGCCCAAGAGGAGCAGGAGACACCCTCATCACCGGCTCGCCCACCAGCCAGTCGACCTGCGGGAGGGAGTGGCCAAGGCCTACAGTGTGGTCAAGGAGGTGAGTGGACATCGAGCCCCCAAGATCGAGCCAGCCCCTGTGCCCTCTTGTGTCACCAAAGAGCATTTAATGGTGGGACATTGTGGAGAAACTCCTGGGAAGGGCTGGAACGGTCCCCCAGCATGCTGAGCACGTGCCCCAGGTGAGAGGGGAGGTGGCCATGGTGACAGGCTTCGTCCTCGCTGTTGAGATGCAGAGCTAACCCTGGCTGATGACCTTGGCTTTGTGCAGCAAACCTCCCACCATGACCCCATCGCATCCCTTCTCTCCTGAACCGGGACATGTCTGTGGTTTTATTACTTAAATATGTATCGCTAAACAGAACATAATGTTCATCTTTTAAAAGGTAGACATAAGTGCCACGTGTCACTCTGCAAATCCTTGTTTACGGTTCACCCATGTGATAGGTGTGGGACTGAATGACACGTGTTAGAACACTTGATACCACGCGTGTGCCCTCCTGGGTTTTCTCTTGGCACACACTGCATTTTACCCCCGCCCCTGAAGCCCCGTGTAAATGTCTGTGTGGTGTCTGCTCACACCTGCCACACCTTCTGGCGCAGCTGCTATGTTGGAAGTACGTGGATGCCAAGGTCTGTCAGAAACGGCCACCTTGCTGGCCACACAGCTCTGTGTCAGTGTGTCCTCCGGGTGGCTTCCTCAGGCAGCGTCAGAAAGGGCCAGTCCCTGGAGAAGGACATCGCAGCTGGACAAGTGGAGGGTATGGGGAGGAGCAGGAGACCTACAGGACGGTGCACTGACAGAGGCTGCAGTGCTAGGCTCGGACACAGCAGGGACCAAGGACGGCATATAGGACAGGGCAGCGTCCATCTGTCACCCGAGGCCGCTGAGTCGCTCGTGCCTGGGTGATGTCTAACCACCACTGTAAGGTGGACACTCTTCTTTCTGTGACGTGAGTCTGAGGTCTACACTGCACCTTGGCGTTCTCAACGTGTCACGTAGCAGATGTAGGCTCTGAAGAGCACTGGGGATGCCCACGGGGCCAGAACCACGGAACCAGTGGTGGGCTGTCAGAGCGAGATTTAGTGAGAAGCAAAACGGCAGCCCCCACCCTCAGGTCCCTCCCTAGCAGTCCGTCCAGAGTGGCCAGGAGAGCTGACCAGTGGGTCTTGTCGGAAGCGGGCGGCATCTCTGTCTAGCAGATGTTGGGGGGCTAACCACCACCCGCTAGGCCCCAGATGAGTGCTTAACCACTGCACCAGCAGGACTCCCGTGGAAGAAGGAAGTTGTTGTTGTGTGCCGTCAAATCGGCACCAACCCATCACTGACCCTCCAGCAGGTTTTCAGAAGAGATCACCTGTCTTTCCCCCAAGGGCAGCTGGTGGATTCGAACCCCGTGCCTCTGTGTCAGCAGTGCAGCTCCTTACCACTAGGCTACCAGAGCTCCAAGAATGACGAGGCTCTCGCTAGCCATATGCCTCCACGGGGGACAGCACTGATAGAGCAGTAGACGGGAAACCGAGTGTAGCATGAACGTGGGCGTCGTGCAGAGCGATGGGGCCACTAGTCTGGACGGAGCTGTGGGCTTCAGCAGTGCCCGTGAGGCCAGCATTCGGGCACCCAGGCCAGGATGCTCAGCCGTCCCTGGGCAGCCTGCCGGGGGGGTTGGCTGCGTTTCTGCACACTCGTGTCTCAGCAGAACGCCTGGTCCCGGTCTTCACCCCACTGGGTTCTCTCAGAAGCTTCTGTCTAGACGACATGCTGCTGCTGGCAGGTCAGCTGTCCAGAGAGGATGGTATTAAAGGCTGCACTCTGGACCCTGTGAACTGTAGATCGGAGCGCTGCCCTGTCCTGCCGTCCTCCCGTCTCTGACAGGCTGGAGCCCACTGCTGCAGTCCCTGTGACAGGCCATCTCATGGAGTCTTCACTGACCCTCCACCCTTCCCAGCATGTCCTTCTCCAAAGACTGGTCCCTTCTGGCAGGGGCTCAAAGTGTGGGACGAGGTCTCCCCCTCCCAGCTGCACTTGCAGTGGTCAGGCCGACTGTGGTTCTGACCGGTCCTCTCCCGCCCCCGGCCCACCCCCAGGGCATCACAGACACGGCGCACACCATCTACGAGACAGCAGCCCGCGAGCATGGGAGCCGTGGGGTCACAGGCGCTGTGGGCGAGGTCCTGCGCCAGATCCCCCCCGCAGTGGTCCGGCCACTCATCGTTGCCACGGAAGCGACGTCCAACGTGCTGGGTGGCATGAGGAACCAGATCCGGCCAGACGTGCGGCAGGACGAGTCTCAGAAGTGGCGGCTGGAGGAAGACTGATTGGGGCAGGGCTGTGAACGCTCATGCAGGGGGGCCGTGTTCTCTCATCGCCTTCATCTCAGGAACCACGGCCCCTCCTCATTAGAGAATGTTCCCCCCAGCTCCACGCCCAGACCTGGCTCCCGGGGCAGCAGGTGCCCACGTCCCTGGCCAGCTGGAGCTCTACTTTCTTGTCACACACCAGTCACACATGGCCAGGAGCCCCGGGGTGGCACCCTGCAGGTGCCCAGCCAGGCCACAGCTCCTCAGACGCTGGGCGGGTGTGGGCCTGGCCTGTGGTGTCCACTGACATGCCCTCGGTCATACTGTCACTAGCCCGTGCTCTTGTCATTTTCAGTCACACAAAAAACCGAAAGGAGTAAGTAGGAACGTGTTTGGCAAAAGGAACCCAAACACAATCGCTTTCATTTCTTTTAAGTGTCAATGAAAAATGTGCTTTCTGTGAGGGACTGGGGCCCAGGTGACTTCTTCGTATGTTCCATTTAGCTGCTGCGGGCTGGTCAGGGACGGGGGTTGTCCATCAGGAACCTCTAGTCCCCAAGGCACCCTCGTTGGCTGGTTCAGAGTTCCCTGTTTACTTGGTTAACAGTACATTTTGATAACCTGTCAGGAATGAATAAAGTATTTTTATTTAAAGGTAGAATTGGGCCACACTTCCATGACTCATCTCCTTTCTGAGAGGGCATTGATAGAGCTTCATGTCTTGCCTGTGACACTGGCCATAGCCAGAAGTGACTTGTCCCCTGGAGGGATGTCTGCTCTGGGTTCTAAAGAAGAGGAAGACGGATGAAGCTCCTGTGACAGGGGGCTTGGTCAAGAGGCAGCAGCTCCCATGCCTGTCAGCCGCCCTGCCGCAAATAGTCCCCTCGGAGCAAGTCCCACACAACGGGCTGGCACCTCTCCCCTCGCCCTCTGACGCTCTGCCTTTCCAAGGGCAGGCCCCTCCTGACAGCAGGCCCCGAACATGGGAGCCAGTCCCACCATCCTTGCCTCTGAGAAGCATTCTGGTCAACCTCTTCCTGGACAGGTTGGTCGGTTCTTTTAACTGTCGTGGGATATTCGCTGCACTTGGCCAGCATCACACCCAGAGGCGTCAGTTCTGCTGTCATCCTTATTTATTGTCCACCTTTCAGATGCATAGAAGCAACTGAAAAGACCATGGCTTGGATCAGGCACTGCTTAGTTTTTAACTGACAAGCCTTGCTCTTTAGCACTTCAGAGAAGTCCCTGACTGCAGACTCTTCCCAGTGCAACACGCTTTTTGACTTCTTGACTGCTGCTACCAAGGGTGTTGATCGTGGATTCGAGTAAGATGAAGTCACTGGCGATTCCCGTCTTTTCTCCCTATGTCATGATGCTGCCTGGTGGCCTAGTGCTAAGGATTTTCATCCTGATGCTAAAATGTAACCCATATTGAAGGCTGTGGTCTTTGATCTTCTTCCGCATTCTTCAGAGTCCAGCATCTCGAAAGATTTGCTCAGCTGAAAGACTGAGTAAGTATGTAGAGAGGACAAAGCCCTAACACACCTTTCCTGAACCATGCAGTGTTCCCTTGTTCTCTTCACACAACAGTGTCTTGGTCTGTGTGCAGGTTTCACAATGTGAAGTGGAGAGTAGTGATGTCATGTCATGAGCAGAGCATTAACTGTCACAGCTGACACCATGCTGTGGCCTCATCCTGGCCCTCTGTGTCTTGGAAGCATGGATGTCACAGGGCAGGTCCCCTCAAGGCCCCTTCTCACCCCCATAGGTGGGGAGTGGCTGCTTGGTGGACATTCCTCATCCACACCCTCCTGTGGTCAGCCTCAGTCTGCTGTTCTCCCTGGACACTCCTGCCTCCCCGGCCGCCTGCTCCGGGCTCCCTGGACACTCCTGCCTCCCCGGCCGCCTGCTCCGGGCTCCCTGGACCTTCCTGCCTCCCCGGCCACCTGCTCCCAGGTCCCTGGACACTCCTGCCTCCCCGGCTGCCTGCTCCCGGGTCCCTGGACACTCCTGCCTCCCCGGCCACCTGCTCCCTGGTCCCTGGACACTCCTGCCTCCCCGGCCACCTGCTCCCTGGTCCCTGGACACTCCTGCCTCCCCAGCCACCTGCTCCCTGGTCCCTGGACACTCCTGCCTCCCCGGCCGCCTGCTCCCTGGTCCCTGGACACTCCTGCCTCCCCGGCCGCCTGCTCCCTGGTCCCTGGACACTCCTGCCTCCCCGGCCGCCTGCTCTGGGCTCCCTGGACGTTTCTGCCTCCCCGGCCACCTGCTCCCGGGTCTCTGGACACTCCTGCCTCCCCGGCCACCTGCTCTGGGCTCACTGGCCTTGTTTCCTCAGACAGTAGCCAGATCTGCGCTTCCCGCACAACCTACCAATCTTCCATGGTCCCACCCTTCTTAGCACCTTGCAACCAAAATGCTAATGCACTGCCTGCCCCCTCACCCCTGCCTGCCAGCCTGAGCCCCTGACCTGTGGCCCTCTGGGTCCACTTGCCTGCAGCCGTGGCCACTCCTGGCTTTGAAGCCAGCCATCATCCAAAGTGGACCACTCCCAGGCGTCCAGCAGACGGCGCCTCCCAGGGGCCCCACCTTCTGAGGGCACCTCTGTGACCTTCGCTGGGAAGCAGGGATGACCTGGCAAGTGTGCCCACCTGAACATTGCTGCACCGAGTCTCTGCCGGTGGATGGTGGCTCACACCAAAGTGTCACCTCTTGGAGCCCCTGCATGGAGCAGGCCCTTCACCCAGGCTGGGCCAAGGGGGCAACGCCAGGAGAGGGCCTCAGGCTTAGGAGCAGAGGGCAGATCTGGGGACGGTAGCCCTGGTGGAGGCTGTCCTGTAGGGAGGGGGTGGCTGAGGCCAAGAGCCACGCCTGAAGAGGAGACCCAATGGGGTGGGGAAAGAGCAGGGGTGTCCACCCACCTGGATGGGACTGACAGCAGGTAGACCTGTGCTGAAGGACGGGTGGGAGATGCACGGGTGAGGCTGCCCCTCCGAACCCGCTGCCCCCAGTCTCCCAGGCTGCACCCAGCTTTCTCCTTTCCCTGCATGGACCACAAAGGTGCCATCTGTAACTCCAGGAAGTCTGGTGGAGTCCCCTGGGGTCCCTGGAGCTTCTGCAGTGAGCTGGCAGCCCTCCCATGCCGCCCAGGACTGTGGACGCTCACAGCCTGCCCTGTTAAAACCAGCTTTCTTCCAGCTTTAAATCCCTGTTAGCTGAGTGAGCAAAAAGCATGGAACAAAAGTCAAAATCCCAGAAAAGGTCAGACAGACACAAGGGGGACCCCAAGACACTGGCCTTTGTCACCCTTCAAAGCTGGGATAAAGCTGGCCCTGTGACTCAGCTGTCAGCAAACACTAGCCTGGCAGGTCCCTAGAATATGCAGCCGTGTGCGGTGACGAGGGAAACATGCCTAGGATCAAGCTCGGGGGACGGGGTGGGGGGTGGACAGAAGAAGGGCCGGGGCAGTGGGAAGAGGGCGGTCATCAGCCTGGGGTGTCAGTCACGTCATGAGGCTCAATGTGTGTGAAGGAGGAGTGGACAGGTGACCCAGGAACCATGGGGATGAGAGGATGGCGCCCAGACTCAGAGGCCACCGGCTCTACGGACCGAGTTCCTTGTGACACAGTCACAGCCCCTCAGCTGACAGAAACAGTCCAGGGACGCCACAGCTGAACTCATGGTGCTGGGGCCCTTCAGACTCCTTGTGGAGCAAGAATCAGGGCCAGGAAGGGGCTCCTGTCCGGGAAAGCCTCTCCCCAGAAGGGCAGGACCCCAACACTGACCGACCTACCTCCCAGACTGGGACAGGACCTGAGTGCGGGGCCAGTTGATGACTCGTGAGTGTGAGGCCCACGTCTGGACAGAGCCCAGAACTCATTCCAGGTTTTATACAGCGACCTGGGCCGCAGGCGACCCCAGCCAGGTCTCAATGGTGGCCCTGCTGGCCAGCTGAGGGGACGTGGGACATTGTGGGAGGCCGGCCTGGGGCGCCCTCTGCTGGACACTGGCCCCTCTGGCCCGTAACCACCCTCGTTTAGGCTTCCAGCGTTCTAGCTCTTTCTCCCAAGGAGCTGCTGAGGGGTGGAACCACCAGCAATCCTGTTAGCAAGCCAGTACTTTACACACTGCACCAGCAGAGCTCCTTGGGAGGAGGTGGGTGGGGACAGGGTCTCAACTCAGGGATCCAGTGTGGTGCCCCAAGCTGAGAGCCCCCTGGGGAGGATGCAGGCCACCTGAGCAGGGGCCCAGAGGGGGCCCACGCCATGGACGCAGCCTCCTGAAGGAGTTGACAGCCAGGCCACAGACTGATAGGGCACATGGTGGGGGTGGAGAGTGGCCAGACCTGGAGGGGTGTCCTAGCACATTTCCCACAGAACCCCCAGGACAGTGGAGGTGGAGACAGGTGATCCGAAGACGACCTGTCCTCCAGGCCAGCATGAGGGGCCCGGGGAGCAGTAAGGAGCCCACACAGAGCCATGACAACCCAGGGTCCTCCCTCAGCCAGTGCCCACTGTGAGACACCTGTGGACACACACGGGGGGGCGGGGTACGTGTGAGGACACGCATATGTGAGCATCTGTGTGCAGGACGTGTGTGTGTGTGTGTGTGTGTGTGTGTGTGTAACAAGCCTGTGTGAACATGCATTAGGGCATCTGTGAGTTTCCTTGTGTCTTGTGACACATGAGTGTGTGTGTGTGTGTGAGCACCTGTGATTGTACATGGGACACGTGTGTGTGAACGTGAGTGTGACGGACACGTGAGCGTGTGTATGAGAACACGTGAGTGTACATGGGAGTCCCTGTGAGGGGGGCATGTGTATAGCAACATGTGAGAGGCACCTGTGGGGGGTGTACATGTGAGTGTATGTGGGGGGGCACCTGTGAGGGGACGTGTGTGTATGTTAACGTATAAGTCTGAGGGACACAAGAGCCTGTGTGTGAAGAGTACATGTGAATGTACGTGGGGGCACCTGTGAGCGGGTGGGTGTGTGGGTGCGTGTATGTGGGGGGCACTTG